TGGAAGCCCGAATGTCGTGAAGGCATTTCTCAGGAAACACGAAAACGCGTCTGGCCCAGTCACAATCTGAGCTCGACTTCCTGACCTAACATCAACGGTTTAAGTGCCGAGTCTCCACTTTGATCCGAGTTACAAACCCTAAACGAGCTGCGAGTGCAGAAAGCCAGAAACACTCCACCCAGCTCCACGTTTGGACAGAAAGGTTCAGTTTGATAACACAGCAGGAAACAAACTATCACAACAAGCGTCACATTTACAGGGTTCATGCCTCAACAAGACTCCGATGTTTTGCATAATTAGCAAACAGGGAACGAAACCCTGAATTAATGAGGGACGAGGACACAGAATGACTTCAGCTCTCTGCCAGAGTTTGCAGCCGGATCACCTCGAAGCAGTCGTCGGTCACAGTGATGCTCTGTGTTCACACTACTGATGGACTCGTGTACACAAACAAGCACACACAACGTGACCCCAGAGAAGTGCAACACAAACACAGCATTTCTGAAAGCGATGCAAAGTGAGGCCTTTCTCTCCGAGCTGCTCCCTCCAGGAGTCACATCTTCTGTTCCAGCGTCCTCCTCTGTCACTGCATGTCCTCCTTCGCTACGTCCACAAACCCGAGGCTTTCCTTCACTCATTCCTACATTTACATCTGTCTTAATCACCTTCACCTGACCTTCAGGTAAAAAGGACGCACACAAAGGCAGAAAGTAACGAGATGTAAAGAGATGTCTTTAAACGTAACCAAGGAGTGAAACTAAGACTCTGCACGACTCCCACGGGCCGTGAGAGGAATTGTGACTCCGGGGGAACAAAGAGAAACGCGGCCCTGCCGGGTCCGAGCTGAAGGGCGCCTCATTGCCTCGAGAAAACAACTTGTACAAAGGACCGAGCAGCAGGGTCATTACTGCGCCGCATTCATGCGCAGCGGCTGGAAACGTTCCACCCTTTAACCAATCTGAGGTTCCCGCTGTGAGTTTCCTCCTGAGCTGCTAAGTGTTCCCCTGCACTTCCAGTCTTTGTGCCTCACACTGAGAGGAACTTCCTCCTGGGAGCAAAAGGTCACGGGACACCCTGGAGGCGGCCCAGTTGTCTTCAAACACAGACAGGAAGCCTTTCATTGGGGCCAGACAGCCAAACATCGCCGACACCATCAGTTAATCTGCTCTCATTACGTCATCTGAATACAAAACAACTTTATTTCTATCGCACATTTAAAACCAAAGGTACACTAAAGTGCTTCACAACGAGGTTAAAACACAACAGATATCTGAATCAGACCAGAGAGCCGGGTGTGAGTCTCTCCCGGTAGCTGGTTGGGTGTAAAGTATGAGTGCATCTGCAGAACGAGTCACCTGACCAACAGCCGGTGTGTGTGCACTAACGTGCGGCCAAACCTAACGAAGCCGTGTCTGCACACGCTCAAACATCAGCCTCCCACCTCCAGTCACTCAGTCACTCCCTGCAGAGAGATCCCTGCGTGCCTTTCTATCCCACGGTGTGCCACGTGACCACACCGTCCGTCTCATCCAGGTGAAACCCGTGAAGCCGGGTTACTGATATTTCAGAGACATCGTCCCGTTTCATGTGCTCAGTTTAGATGAACCTGCAGCAGCTGTGTCAGACTGCAAAGTGTGGAAACTGAGGAATGACGCGCTGTGTGTCGGTCCAGACACAGAGTGTCCGCTGTGAGACGCCGAGTGTGTCAGAGACCAAGACGTGGAGGCGATCGGCGCTCTGAGAACGACCGCGGGGACAAAGAGTTCAAGAATGCAAGACAGAAATATTTGGAACATCCCACCAGATGGACATCAGCGCTCCCACTCAGCTGTGGGAATCCAGCATAAGGATCCAGAACAGGACAGAGCTGGACGGAGCGTGCAGTCTGTGGAGGCGCTGTCCTGGAACAGCAGAGTTTGAAGCCTGAGCGTTTAAATCCTTACAGTCGTTTGAAATGCTCGGAAACTCTGGATGTGCAACCACAAATCTGCTGCGAGAAGAAAGAAACCAGAGAAATCTGCCTTCAGAGTTTCTGTCGATGCTTCAGGATTCTCAGGGTTAGCCGCTCGCTTCAAACGCTGAGTGAACGACGTCACTCGTGAGCCGAGGGCTTCTTCAAACACCCCACACTGTTCTGGAGTCAGCTTCACACCAGACGCATCAATCAGATGCTCCTCGAATGATTCGGTGCCGACCAAATTCATCCAAACGTGGCTCAGAGATCTCACCTGTCCCACCTGCAAAAGCATTCGTCTATACTGCGCTGGAGCCGAGCACAAGCCGAAGGGAAGCCAGCCGTTCCCAAAATGTGTGATAAAGGCTGTGAGTGGCGTGCTGCTGTCCTCCTTGATGGTCCGCCTTGCACCAGCGCTTAGAAACCATGCACTCCTGCTCACGACGCTGAGCATGTGTTGAGCAGGAGGGATGGGATGACGTCACGCTGCGTCAGAGACGGGATGCATCCCATTTCATTCTCATCTTTGGAAAAAGCAGCCGTCTCACCTGCTGATCTGGGGTCAGCTGAAACAGGTGGCTCCCATAAATCACGGCTGCATTTCTCCCCCTCACCGTACGCTCCTTCCCTCCAGCGGCAGGAGTCAACTTACTTAACCAGTGATCGCCGTCTACAGGGCAAACAGCTGTAACTCGCTGCAGTCGCCCGGCGCGGCGCGAAGGATGAGGGTGATGTCATGGTTCCTGCTGGAGGTGGGAATCACCATACATCCCACGATACGATATTATCACAATACTTAACGCACGATAAGATATTATTGCGATTTTTTAAAATATTTTGCGATATTCAGATTCTGTACATAAAGGTAAACTTTATCAATATTCATTTTATCTAATATTAAAGTCTCGCACTCAGTCTTTCTCTCATTTCAGTTTTATTGTTGACAAATTGAACGGTTTGTATTACAGTCTAGTCCAACTGAACTGAAAACATCTGGTACAATTACAGCTATTTATAAAAACTATGCAATATGAAAACTATGCAGCCCCTTCAGCAACTGAAGAATTTGAAAGTAAATTAAAACAAAATATAATTTTACATTAAATAAAAAAGTTTTAAACTTAATTAAAATAAAACATGTCTTAAATTAAAATAAGTAAACTGTCATGTTTATTGCTGTCATAAAAAAAGTTAAACACATTTGGACAGTGTCAGGATTGTTGCTCAGAAAAAGGATCAACATGCTCTGAAGTCAGAGCACAAAAACCTTTTTTGTAACAAAACATCGATTTCTGCTGTCCCTGTATCGATACGTTATTAGCAAACAAAATATCACGATGCTACATTGTATCGATTTTTCCCCACCCCTAGTTCCTGCCATTAGTAACTGGGATGACCACGCCGGACCGATTTCCCCTCTGCAGGGCGATGACGGTTTGCCCCTCTGGTAATGCTGACACGTCCTCACACCCTCACTGCAGGAGTTTTGCGGCCCTCGGGTTTCTCCACCTCAGCTGATTGTTTTGCTCTTCTGTGGTTCATTAACTTTCACTGATTTGCTGCCTGTATTTTTCTTTTGCACTGATCGTCTCTCTGATCTGCTTCATTCATCTTATCGATGAGTCTGTCACCCGAGGATCATCGAGATGAAGCTCGATACCCGAAAGCTCAGTGCTGACAGACCTGAAGTCCTTCTGCACGAGTTCTGGGCTCTTCATCAGACCCGGAGTCTCCCGAGGGGAGCAGAAGCCTCTCCTTCAGCTACAGTTGTCCTGAGGAGGAGGTTTTGAGGAGGTTCACGGCTGACCAGCCTGCGATACTGGGGTAGGGGCAGGTCACCATCCACCTGAAGCTGCCTCTAAGACTCAAACTAAGACTTCAGCGCAGCTCCTGTAGCGTCTCTGTGATGCACCGGGTCTGTGCGTGAGTCTGAGCTTCTCCCCACTTTGACCTCTGGTCGTCTCTCACTCAGTGACCTCATCCTCCATCTCTTTGTTTCCTTTCGTGTGCGTGTTGATCTTCTTCCACTTCCTGTGGCAGCATCGATCTCAACACACTTCCATCATGTGCCCGAGTCTGGAACGGGACAACGAGCACTTCCGTCCCGCAGTGACCCCAGGCTACCCCACCCTTTGCTTCGCTGCTGGGAAACATTACAGTCGGACTAGCAGTGAACGTGACCCGGGTCAAAACTACAGAACAAACACGAAAACATCGTTCATGAAAAATGTTACAATGCCGATAATCACCGACACGTTTCAGAGCCAACCAGGAGCTCCGCGTGCAACAACTTTTCTCATCAACACAGACACGAAAAATCAGAGCCGAGCCGAGCCGGACCGGGCCGAGCCGGGCAGAGATGCGGGCGGACTCACCTCGTCCTGCCGCGCAGGACCAGCAGGAGCAGCGGCAGGAGCAGGCCGAGCACCAGCAGCAGCAGCGGGGACATGATCCTACCTCTCTCCAGGACTCACACCGGAGCGCTACTCTGCGGGAGCGCGCACACACACATATACACGCGCACATCACCGGAAGTTTTCAAAATAAAACACACCAACTTCAGTTTGTTTTTATCGATCATATGGATGCCACATGTGACACACAGAACACAAAGTTATAAGAACAAAGATAAAAACGAGGCGGCGAAGACTCAAATCTCCTTCACTGAGTGCGTGTTCTTCGTGGATGTGGGGTTGGAGTGGAAGCTCGCTGTCAGCTGGGACAGTTGCAGTCCACGCCTGTGAAAACGGAGACCACCAACACTGTTAGGGACCGTGAAAAGAGCTCAGGCAGCTTTCTCTCTAATCACATCACCGTGTCTGATGAAGGCAGATCAGGGTGTTTCCTGCCATGAGACCAAAATATACCTGACCTAATAAATACGTCTCTGGGAAGTAAAACGAGTTTCATGGCTGTCACAGGATAACTCTGCAGAGCACTGTGTGTGTCGTCCTGTTCTGTCTTATCTCGTTTATTTGTGCATTTGTTTGCACATTGCACTTTTGTGTTTGTGTGTTACATGTCTGGTTGAAATGACAATAAAATCTGTCGATTCATTTAAATGAGAGTTTGTGGCAGAGACCAGCTAAGAGAACAACAGCATCCATTATTAACCAAACTTTGGATTTGCAGACTCAGCGGGTTTTGTTTTTCCACACAGTTAATCCAGGAAAGGCTTTAAAGTCATGCAGAAGTCAGACGGCCGAGTCTGCACCGCCTGCACCAACACACCGAGTTACATCCTGAGAGGACAGAAAACTGGCTTTCATGAAGTGATGCTTCTCAGCCGGGGAAAGCGCCACAGTGTTACTGATGATCGGTAACAGTCAAAGAAGTTCCTGTAAAATTAGCTGAAGTGCAATAAGAATACTTGTGACATAAAAACCAAAAACAATCATTTTAAGTGCTCTGTGAGTCTGTGTGCTCGGGCAGACTGTAACAGGAAGCAGGCCGAGCCAATCGAAACCAGATATCTGGAGGTACATTCATGGCTTTTCTGTCTCTGTATGAAGCACTGCCGTGTACCTGATAAAACACCGCTTCTCCTGAAAGCCTAGGAAACAAGCACTGCAAACAGCCGAGTGTGTGCGTGTGTGTTGTGCTGACATGAAAACTATTATCTAGGAACAGGAAGGAGACAGAACACGAGCTGAGGCGCTGCTCTGGTTCTGCAGCGTGAGATAATGTAAGTGTAAACCTGCTCAGTGCACACTCACAGAGTCAAAGTCCACTCACAGAGGAAGCAGCGAGTCCCTGCTGTGTACCTTCTGCCTGCCAGACACGCGAGCTGTGCTCCACCCGGCAGCGGAGAAGAACAAAGGCCACGACTTCATGAAACTGCTGCACCGAGTATCAACAGGAGGACGTGTTTTTGCAGGGCACAAAAGAGAGACTGCAGTTTGGTGAAAGAGCCTCTGTAATATCTCTGATCTCAGATAACGTAGCTTTACAAATCATGGCTCTTACACCTGTGTTTGCGCAGGTAAATGTGTTTTAGATGAGTCCAGCGTGCAAAGGCAGCAGAGTGTGCTCTGTCCCCTCCCTGTATATGCAGGAGAAACCGGTCAGATGACCTGTGAGCACAGCTCCATAATTCAATTAACCTCTTAAGAGCCAAGTCTACCTGATCTCCTGCCTTTTCCCCCTGGGGGGGGGGGGGCGTTGGGGCTTAAGAGGTTAAAGGGAAGTTGCAGAAGTCCAAAATCTCCTCAGCTGGAGACAAAAATTACATTTATTCCCCAAAATCAAGTTGAGCTCTACGGACTGAGAAATTCTGACATTAGAGAGAAACCACCAATCAGACGATGCACAACGAACACTTAGAGAAGAATTTCCTTTTAACAGGAAGAACTTTGTTGGAACATGTTTCTGCAGTGGACTTTGCCGCTGGGATTCGCTCACAGATTTCACCTGTTGACTCTAAATCTGGACACTGTTCCCTGTTTTTTAGTTTGGAGCGTCTCAGTACTGGACAGCCTGGATGACCGAACAGGTTTCAGCTTTTAAGTCTGTGAAGCCAAACTGAAGGCAGGCTTTTGTTGGTCCTGAACTGATGCTCGACGATCACTCCAGAAGGAAACTGAATCAGGAGCAGAGCGCCGATGCTGAATGTCTCTGAACATCCACTTTAGACATTCTCATCTCGACTGTTTCCCACCAAGTCTGTCAGCGACGAGTGTGGAAAGAAATCTTCTCAATCTGAAAGTGAAGGCATCCCAGCGTGATGGGTGACCAATGCTGGCTTGTGTAAAGAGACATTGCTCAAACATTTCTGAGACAGAAACACGCTTTAACGTGTCTCTGGCATCAGCGGCTGATGTGTTTGGAGATTGGCCGCTCCTCTTTACAGATCAGGAACTTTGCCACCTGAAATAAAAACATTAACGATCAGTGAAACAGCTGTTCTTAAATGTTTCTGTTATTATCGTTTTATTTTCTTTGATCTTTTTGTCGTCTAACCAGGGTCAGGTCTGTAAGTGAGCCGTGGCCACAAGCAGCACATGTTTGTCTTTCAGCGTTAATGAAACACAAAGACAATAACAGTTAGTGGGAAATCGATAAAATTCCAGACATTGTGTTGACACATGAGTGAAACCCGACGTGGAAGCTTAACTCACATCAGTGAAAACGCTGATAAGAGCCTGTGTGAAGCTGCCAGCACAAACACAAGCAGTCATGTCACGCTGGTCCTGTGCAGAGACCGTTACCTGTAAACTCACGTTGCATGTCCTCTGATTACACCAACATTTGTTTCTTCTGCTCTGCACGGCTTTTATTTTGGAGGCGAACGCCGAGTTCTGCACTAGATGTGCTCGTCCTCACGCGGACAAACTGTCCCACAGCTGCTTCACAACAGATCCAGAATATGTCTGTTAAGTTACAGCACGTCAGCGATGACCTGCAGAAACACACAGTGCGAGCGTGGGCGCACGGACTCAAACCCTCGGCTCGCCGGGCCTCTGGGCTGGGATCGGGGTTCACGCTGTGATTGTCTGAGCTGATTCTGCTGAGTGAAAGTGTGCGAGCAGCGGGTTGAGTTCAGTGCACGTGTATGTGCAGCCAACAGCCTGCAGTGTTAGAGGGATGACCCCTGTGGACCCACACGAGGCGACAGCAGGAAGGAAAAACTCCCTTCCAACAGGAAGTTAAGAACCCGGATCAGGGTTGGGTTGTGAGAAAGGAGAGCATAAGGAAAGAGGACGTTTCCTCCTGTGCCATCAATGTGCAGGAAGTTACAGCTGTTCAGCCTTCAAAATAAAAGCCCAAATACTCTCAGCAACAGTTTTCAATTTGTTCGGTTATTTTTGAAACAGAAACGTTTGTATGGAGGTCAGAAGGAGTTTAATGTGTAGCCAGTGCTTTGTGCTGCATTTTTCTGAAGACTGTATATAAAAGATGGACATAACCACGACACAACATTCCTTGATGTTAGGATTTGTTGGAAAGCGACCTCCCAGATGTTTTTCTGTGAAGCGTCTTCTATTCTTTCTGAAACCGTTACGCTCAGAGGCGGGCTGAGGTCTCCAGTTGGAGCCTCGTCAGGCGTTTATTGAGATGCGTTAAACGTCGTGGGGCTGGAGCTCTGTCAGGACTCACTGAATAGATGCAAGATTTCAGCTCTCTGCTTGAGCAACAGTGTGAGAAAAAAAACTCTGTGAGCTTCAACATCACATCTGATGTAATCCGAGCGTTCCCGCAGGAGGCCGGCTCTTGTTGGGAAAGCAGCCGTCTGGTTCTCATTAACGGCTCCGAGCTTCACGTAGACTTCCACAAAATTGGATTACACTGAAAAGACGTCACTGATGTCTTCGTGTGGCTCTCAGCACAGTCATCGTTAACTATGTGAGGACGATGAATCATGACACTGTGTCAGGAAATGAACGAGGATCCAATTGCAGGCACTCATCGAATGTGGTTTATTGTAGAACAAGAGTGGAAATGGCAAAACGGAACGAAACTAATCTGTACTGAGACAAACTAAACTACTGAACAGCAAACATACACACAAAGGTACATGATGGTGCCAGCAGGGAAACCACACAGCAGATACACAGACGGCCCAACGACTACAACAACAGAAGACACGGCTTAAATACACTCAGAGAACAGGGACATTACACACAGGTCGGGAACACAGCTGCAAGTAACTGACAAGACGAGACAAGGAAGGCAAACTGAATACACACATAAGACACGGACTTTCACAATAAAACAGGAAACAAGAAACCATCACACAAGGACGCAGACTCGACACTGAGAGGCAGACAGAATATAACACATGGACCTCAAACTATGCTAAACATGAGACACAACTGAAGAACAAATCCTTAAACACAAAAACCAGAAACAGAACCAGCAGAGCACACGAGCATCAGAAAACAAACCGAAACACAAGAAACGACCCAGAACCGTGACACCGTCACAGGAAGCTGCTGCTCAGGTTCTCGGCTGGAACGAGTCTTTGATGAGTCAGCGTTTGCTGGGCGTCACAGACTTTCAGGCTGAAGGCTTAAAGTCAACACAGTCCTGTGAATAAAGAAGTCTGTGTGACTGTACGCTCGATCGCAGCTCGAACGCTCAGAGGAGGAAACTGGATGATTAAACACCCGCGTCCGTTACTCTCACATCCTCCCTCTGACCTGTCAATACTTTAGCCCCACCCTGCAGTACTGTGCAAAAGTCTCGCGCCACTCCTCATCTTTAAAAAGGAGCCAGACAGTGCTCTTCATCAGCAGTTGGCTGCATTTTCACAGCAGCTATTTTTTATTGAGCCATTAACTCTGACCTGAGGTTCAAGCAAAGAAAGCTGTGGCTGTAGCCCAGGCGGCAGCGCAGGAATCTGCCAATCAGAAGGTTGGTAGCTCGATTCCTGGGATATCTGAATCCTCGAATGTCCGAAAACACTCAAGCAAAGATGAAGAAGTGCTCGTGTGAATGAGGCATGAAGTGATAAAAAACAGTCAATTTACCAAAACACCCTTTGATCTATAAAGGAAAACTTTATCTTCATGGTTTCATTTAACCTAAACGTCCAGCATGTTTCAGCACACAGGCTTTCAAAGGGAGGCCACAGCCCAAGGACACACTGCAGCTTTTCTAGCACCGGCAGCAAACCTCCACCAG